GGGTTGGTTGGCTCGGACGGCTCGTCTCCTCGTTCTCAACACATTGGACCTATTCAACACCAAAACAAAAGAGAAAACGCGCAAAAATACGAAAGCACTATACAATAACAAAAATACACAAAACACGATAAAATGGACCGGTCGAGCCTAAAAACGGACCTAAGAACCACAAAATAGAACACATAAAACACAAGAAAATAACGACAAAAACACAATAAACAACATTCATCTCTATCTTCATTAAATAAGGTTATTATTGACAAAAAAAATATTCTTAATAGTGTGCAACTTTTCAAAACCACATATATTAAAAATAGGAGGTAGTATTAATTATAAGGAAATGTTACGGTCCCGTTACGGAACCATTATGTTAAGGGCTGTAACCGTTAGATCAACTATCCACGACGGTTACATGATGATCTAACAGTTACACACCCCGACGGAATGGTTCCGTAACGGGACTGTAGCATCTCCCTTTATTATAACTCATAAATCACATAAATAGGTTGTTATGGATATATATGTCATAATTTTCATTTTGTTTCTAAAATTTATCATCTGTATTAAATAATATAAGTATACCACCCAAAAAATGATTAAATAAATATTTTGTTAATAATAACTAGTACGAATCCCGTGCGATGCACGAGTAAGAGATATTCATTAAGATTTATAAATTAAAAATGCTCATTAAATAATATTTATAAATTTAAAATAAAAAATCAACTCATACGGTGCACATAACTGATATTAAACTACATTATATCATTTCAAAATAATTGTCGTTTTGAAATTTTTATTCATAAGTTCAATTTGAATACAATGTGGTTACATGAAATAATTATTTTGATACAATTTTATCATATATTTAAAAATCTATGTGAATAATAAATAAAAAATAAATTTTTATATTATTTAGTTAATTAAAATAAAATTGTTTTTGTATAAACTCTTCATTTCAAAAAAAAATTATATAGTTGAGTAATTTCTTAAATTATAAGTAATTGACTATTCTAATTACCTCCAAGTTAATAAATAATTACTTATTTTCATTTTAAATTTGGAATCTAAATTTGGACTACACAATAAACATCCTTGTATATTTTATGTATATCTATATTTTACCAATCTCAAAATTTTCTAGATTGTTGTCGGCTACCTTATCGTCAAATTTATCAACTAATTCTCTATAATTAAATTATAAATTTTAAGTTTTATTAACAAATATATGTTCAAATATTTTTCTAATTTTTGAGAGAAATACACACCAATTTTCTTATCTTATGGCAAGTTATTATGGGAATATTTTAAAACAGTAAAGTTTGAGAATCATATCACCTTGATTTTATAACAAATCAACCTAAATTTCGACTTTCATACTTGTACTAAATAAAATTCATACCACTTATTTTATTTTCAAAATTCAAATACACTTCGCTTCATACCAAATAAAATTTATACTATTTAAGTTCGAACATTTTATACCAAAATAAAATCACCCTCTTTTTATTCATCATAATACTCAACTATTGTTTTATTCTAAGATTTATTGTCATATAATATGTATTAAGATAATTTTTTAAATTAACCACTAAATTTTATTATATGCAAATATTTTGATATTTTTAACAAAGTAAATTTTATACTCTTACAGCTTACGCAACACGGAATTCTATTTACGCTACATAGTATAAGAACTAAAACTCGACGAATTACTTTTTAAATATTTTAAAACACTAAAAGATATACAATTTCAATATAAAATGGCGTTTATGCGAGATTATATTTTTTTAAGGGGAACCCGTGCGTCAGACATGGCTTAAAATTTCAAATATTGATTTGTTAAAAATTAAGCAAATTATTTATTTTTGTAAACAAAAACAAATAAATTTTATAAATTCTCAATAAATTTGTAAAATTGTTTCCTTTTTATTTATCATATTACTATATAATAAAATCAAAATATTTTGAAATTCGAAATTAAAGCTATATTGGCGGGTTTTTTTCGATTATTATTTTTTTCAAAAAGATTACCAAATTAATAGATATAAATATTGATGTATAATAAATTCAAAATATCATGGGCATGTGTTTCCTTTATGAAATGATGTACCAAAATTTTAATTCCAATATCAATTGGGACGTTTATGGAAGAAAAGACATACCACAAAAAATACGTACATACATTGATTTCTAAGTTAATTGGTTTTTTTTTTTTGTTTTTT